GAGCAAGCACCTCCACCCGCCTGACCTTCTTAAAATTCACCTGAGCAGAGTTCCTGCATGGAGGAGCTTTTAGAATTACTTTCTCATTCAAAACCACTGTCTGAAAAATAAAATAAAACAAAATAAAACCACTGCCTGACATTGCCAAACAAAACGCTTTCCATGTTCAAACACAGAGAAAAGTTCAAACACACAGAAAAGTTGAATTTTAATGTGAACATTCCTATGCCCACCTCCTAGGTTCTATCATTTCTATTTTCTGTTCTTCATCCCATATGTCTGTCTGTCCATGTAAGTTTTTATGCATTTTTAAATAAATGCACAGTACAATTCACCCTAAGCATTTCATTCACTAGAGTTCAACAGTTGTTACCATTTTTTTAAATAAAATTTACATACAATGGAATGCACACATCCTAAGTGTGCACTCAGTAGGTTTTGACCAAAATGTGCCTTTAGTGGGTTTTGATAGTCTGCAAACAGGGTTCTGGCCTTGAGTTTGAGTTTTAAGTGAGATCACATGCCCTAGGAGCCCTCACTTGGCAGTGGAAGGCCTTATTGTTAAGATACCAGAGGCAAAACGGGCCCCAGGGTGGAGGCCAGGATGTGACCAGGGCTGTGGGAAGCAGGAGCTAGCCTGAGGCCTGCATGGAGGAGGGAGCGCTCACCTGCAGGGGAGGGCTCCAGGGACTATTGCAGGGAAGTGTGAGGAGGAAAATCATCAAGATCAGGAGGAGAATATTCTGGAAATCAGCAGGCTGCCGCAGCAGTGCAAATAAGACTGTGGGAATGAGAACACCAGTAATAACAGCAGGCTCTTCTTCAGAAATTACCACGTGTCAGAGACCAAGTGAACGCTGCAGGCCCCTCCTTGAACCCTCACCACCGCCCTCCACGTGGGTACCGGTATCCCCTCAAATCTGCAACTCGCCTTAGGGCGCAGTCAGGAAGCGCCAAAGCCAGGATTTGAGCTCAGGATGGCAGAGCGCCCTGGTCCTGTCCTTTTTTATACACAAATGCTGGTCCTGCACACAGACTCCAGCGAGGTGACAGGCCTGGGACGAGGCCCACGCATGGGGGTGGGAGTAGAGCTCCCCGGGTGATCCTCTGTGAAGCGTGGGCTGAGAGTGGTACAGGCCCAGATGGGCATCAGAGAAGGTGAGAGGGGGCAGCCAGGAGGGAAGGCAGAGGCTGGGGCGGGGGCCCCTCTGCTCTCTCTCCTGTCACCTGGCCCCTGAGGTTGGCGGGCCACCTCCCCGGCTCAGCCTGAGAGCAGCACTCGGGCTGTCCTCTTGGTCCTGCTACCTTACGACCCTCAGAGAGCAAGTGAGGCCAGAAATCGTGAACCACCTCCCTGTCCCCAGCCCCTGCCCTGGGAGGGATCATGGATGCCCAGGTGGACACGAACACCCCCAAGAATCACTGTTTGTCCCAGCACCTTCACACCCTCCCAGGCCCCGTTGCCTAGGGCGGGGGGCTGAGTCATCCTCAACCGGTCCCTTTTCCACTATTAATAACTGATTAGGAAGTCAAGGCACTGCCTCCCCAACAGCCGTGCATCAGAGGTTTCCCGGCTGGTCCTGGCAGGTGGGATGTGGTCAGGTGCTCAGAGTTGTCCTGGAAAGAGTCTCCCTCCTGGAAACTTCTCCCCTTGACCGGGAACCATTGTTATTGTCTATATTTTGTGCTCTTCTCCCCAAGAATCTAAACTCCACCAAAGTGATGAAAGGAACAGTCATAGTCACCTCTCATCCCTGGGGCCTCATCCAGACCCTGGTTTACAGCACATGCTCAAAAACTGGAATGAATACAGAATCAATGACCAGTCCAGGCAGGAGGGTATAGCTCAGTGGTAGAGTGCATGCCTAGCATGTAGAAGGTCCTAGGTTCAATCCCCAGTACCTCCACCAGGAGAAACAAATAAATAGATAAACCTAATTATTTCCCCCACAAAAAAAATTAAAAACTTTTTAATTAAAAAAATGTAATCAGTTCAATCCCACGATGAACATCTCCCTTAACTGCATTTGAAAAATCACATGAAAACTAACGCAGGGCCAGTTCTCACTGTCAGAAACCTTCCAAAGGCTGGAACCCCTTGGATTCATTTTCTGTTATTGCCATAATAAATTACCACACACTTAGAAGCTGAAAACACCACAGAAGCTCATTCCTCACAGTTCTGTAGGTTACAAGTCCCGGTAGAGCATGGCAAGGTGTCACTAGAGATGCTGAGACAAATCTAAGTTCAAGCTCACCCATGTTGCTGGCCAAATTCAGTTCTTTTCAGTTGTGGGGCTGATGCACCTGTTGCTGGTGGCTGTCAGTAGGGACCACTTAGTTCCTTAAGGCCATCTTCATCCCTCATCTCATTGCCCTCCCCATATCTTCAAAGCAGCAAGGGCTATTCCTATTCACCCTGCAAATCTCTGTTCATCCTTCAGCCGCATCACTTCCACCTCCAGCTGAGGAATGTTCTTGGCCTTTAAGGGTTTATCTGATTAATTTGGGCTCACTCAGATAATCCAGGATAAACTTCCTATTGCAAAGTCTGTAACCTGACTCACATGTGCAATGTCTCTTTTGCCATGCAATGTCACGTACTCACAGGTCCCAATGATTGGGATGTGGACATTTCTAGGGGAACATTTTTCTGCCCACCATACCCCTAATGGGAGGAGAAAGAGCCCAAAACTAGGAGGACAGAGACCTGAGTTTCAGGCCCAGCCCTCCTTGGTCATGTAAACTCAGGACAGGGATTTCTTCACCTCAGTGAAGCCTCAGTTTCCTTATCTGTAGAATGGGGTCACGCTAGCACTGATGTCCTAGGATAATGGTAAAGAGCAACTTCATTCATGCAAAGGGCTTATCAGTGCCCGGCACTCAACATGGTCATTACTATGAGATCAGGGGCAGGGTCCACAGATCTTGTCACATTCCCCCTTCACCGCAGACCTGTGAGGTAGGAACGAATGATTCCCATTTCACAGATGAGGTTAACTGAGAGGATAAGGTGAGAAGATGTTGACAAATTACTTGCCCACAATGTTCTGGGCACTTCGCACAGTGCTTTATGGACATCGATATCACAAGACTCCTCCCCCAGTTACTTTCCTCATTTCCTGGGAGAGAAAACAACTCAGAGAGAGGGAGCAGTCTGCCCAAAGCTCAACAGCTAGAAAAGGGCAGGGCCAGGAACCGCTCCCTTTGTCATTAGATAAGGTTCCCTCGTGAGGGGAACATGCAGTTTCTGTGATTGTGAGCCCTCCCTGCGTGCCCACCAGCGCCCGCCCACAGCAGCCCTCCACCATCACCTGTTGATGCGGGAGTACCCGCTTCTGTTAGGTGAAATGGCCACCCCTCCTGCCAGCAACCAGCCTGTGGAAGAACAGCGAAGGGAGTATAACCCCCTCCTCAGTGGAAATCATGTCTTGGGCCAGTACCCAGGACTCTGCTGGAAGATTACCATTTCCCGTTACCACAGCAACACGGACGTCTCTATTCCCCTAGGATGTGAGCAGATCTGCTCCTCCCCTCTTTCTCCCAAGCCTCCTCAATGTCCCTTCCATCTCTGACAAACTGTGATTCAACTAATTATTACCAATGCCTGCCCCGTTTTTGTCACTTTCATTTATTCCATCTGCTGAGTCACTGAGTCCTGCTCCGGATAAAGAGTGGTTATTCACCAGAACATTCGGCCGCTGGTTGCCATGGACACCTGACAGCTCGCTTCCCACATCACCTGTTCATTCTCAGCAAAGCTGGCTGTGAGCGTGGGTACCACGGCCCCTTATGCAGGACCCAGGGGGCATCAAAACTCCCCCAGACAAGGAGGGGCCCTGATGACTCATAAACAAGAACAGAAGCTCTAGTCTCAAGCGTTGAAAAATCAACAACAGCCTAGAGCTAGCTAGTTACATCCATTCAAACCAGGTCCAGGCAGCAGTTTAGCAAATGAGCCAACCAAAAGGTACCGTTTGGTTTTCTGGTACATTCAGGCAAACACTGCAGTCTCTCTGCTAACCATTTTAAGATGTATTTTTATATTGAAAAGTGTAGATCACTGTCTCATTTTGAAAACAAAATGAAAGAGACAAAGTGCAGGAGACTCAAGGAACTGGTTGGGAACGGGGGTTGCCAGGGGTTGGGGAGGAGGGGCAGACCTAAGAGATGGAGGGGGCCACAGGCTAAGTCCAGCCCAGCACAGAGGGTCTGGGAGCCGGAGGGAGGGGGAGACTCGGGGTTTTCCAGGTGAGGTAGGTGTCGAGGGGTTCAGAGGCAACCAGGATGCAGCCACCAGGCAGAGAGAGCAGGACCATCAGCCCATGGCCCATTGCTCCTGATAACTATGACACGTCCTGTTTGCAGAGCCCGGAAGAGGGGACAGGGGATCAATACATCACTCCATGTTCACACACTCCTTGCTCTTCAAACATCGACGTGAAGATCACCTCCCCTTCCCTTCCCCCACATCTGGATGATTGACTAAATGACAGGGCTGGGGGTGAGGGGTTGGGGGATAGAGGTACCTGTGCCCATTCCTGTTCCTGGGGCACCTGGCCTCCTGGGAGGGGCCTGAGGGTTTTATAAGTCAGGGCTGGGGCACCGAGCAGAGCAGAGAACTGAGGCACCAGGCCACCAGCAGCAACTCGCCTCTCAGCTCTGCAGGTGAGAGCGCCGGGGAAGGGTGGGGAGAGTCCGGGATGAAGGTTGATGGGATCCCCTACCCTCATTAAGTTACCATGCTCACACCTCCGTGTCTCCAGGGCTTGGACCTTTCTCTTAGCCCAAAACTGTGTTAGGTCTCAGCTCCAGGACCCACCCTGGCATCCCAACCCTCACCTTCAAGCTGCCCTGCTGCCTCAGCCCGGGCCCTGCCTGCCCCTCTTACTCCATGCTCACCCTAGCCCTGCGAGGTGAAGACAAAGGCTATTCTCCCATCTCTCAGGTGAGAAAACTGAGGCCCTTTAAGCTTGACCCCTCTCTCCTTTGCAGACAAGATGCAGCGACTGTGTGCGTTTGCCCTGATCTTGGTGCTGGCTCTGGCTGCCTCCTCCGAAGCTTCTTGGAAGCCCAGCTCCCAGTTGCAGGAGGCACTTTTGGCTCCAGGGGCCAATAGAGGCCAGGAGCAGCATGGGCTGGACCGGCTGGGCCCAGCCTCTCACCACCGAAGGCAGCTGGGGCTTGAGGCTCCCCCACATCTGGTGGCAGGTAGGGGCTGCTGGTAGCCGTCCTAGCTCGGCTCACCCAGCCAGGTTTGGCCAAGGTCCCCACAGGCTGGCCCTGGCTTTGGTCTCCAGAGGCTAGGCATCCTTCTGCCATCCTCACCTCTTCTCCCACCTCTGACCCTCAGACCTGTCCAAGAAGCAGGGGCCATGGCTGGAGGAAGAAGAAGCAGCATATGGATGGATGGACTTCGGCCGCCGCAGTGCTGAGGAAGGGGACCAACATCCTTAGAACCGAGCTGCAGAGCCTAGTCACCTCCCAGCCCAGCCCCACCCCCTGAAAAGCAAATCAAAATAAAGTAGTTTCCGGTTGATCACATTGTGTCAAGTGTCATGAGCCAGGGGAGGGAGTTTAGGGGAGGGCTCAGGTGGGAAGGAAAGTTGAGTACCCCTCTAGGGGCAGAGACCATGACTAAGTCATCTCAGTGTCCCCAGAGCCTAACATTGAACAAGACTCTATAGCGTGGGTAGGAGAATGGATGGGGGTGTCGCAACCAATTTCTAAAAGAGAAATCAAATCATGCCACTTCAGGTTCAACACTCCAGTGCTTCCCATGTTTTTTAGAATAAAATCTGGACTCCTCGCCACAGCCCTAAGAGCTAGCCCTGCTGTCCTCTTCCCCCTCATGAGTTCCTTTCTCCCTTCTCTTCCTTTCTGCTACACAAACACACCATGCTCTTTCCTGCTCAGAACCTTCGTCCTTGCTGTTTCCTGTACCTGGAACGCTTTTCCCTGGGCACAGACATGGCTGGCTCTTCTTTTTCTCTTGGGTCTTGATTGAACTGCCTCACCCTGAGACACCAGCCCTTTCTGCTCCTCACCTTTCACACACAGCCCCTGGTAGCTTCTAATCACAACATCGTATTTTCTGGAGAGCACATTTCGCAATCTGTAGTTATTTTGTTTGCCAGCTTCTTGTCTGCCTTCCCAGTTAGAAGGGAAACTCTGTAAGAGCAGGGACCACGTGTCCCTCTTCCCTGCTATACCCGCAGTGCCAAGAACAGGAGGTGCCTCATAAATACTTATCAGACAGATAAACGAGGGACACTTGGTGTTTCACCCATTTTCCCTCATTGTTCTTGTGGCTGTCACAGCATCCTACCCCAGGCACATGCTACTCTCCACCTGAGGGCTTTCAGAACGCAAGGCAGGCTGGAAATTCTTGGGAGTTAGTGCCTTCAGAAGCATCTCTCAGTCAATGTCAGATGAGAGTTGGAGGATAAATACCCCAGGTCCTCCCCCATGGAGCGGGGTGGGGGAACTCTGAGGTGTCTGCTAATCTGTCTCCCAGAGGTCCCCAGCAAGACTGAGTCCTAGTTGCCCACAACAGTAACCTGCTCAATGATATCATTTATTGGCTTCCTTCCTTTCCCTGTCTCACTGCCTTAGGCTGTTATTCATGTTTCATGGGATCACCACCCAAATAAATGTACTTGCACTCAAATCCTGATCTCCAAGTCTGCGTCTGGGGGAACTCATCTTAAGCCAGTTTGTCCCAGAAGGGGGTGTAGGAAGCAAGACCTTCATGATAGGATGCTGAGATTTGATACCTCACCAGTCAGATCCCATTGCTGTGATAAGTGGGATGCTGATAACCCCCAAAGCATCACAGTCACCTGTTTATCCTCTCATCTTACATAACAAATCCATTCTAGCATGCCTACTTCTCTGAGCCTTTTGACTCCATCCTCAATACCCTACTGAGGCAAGTCAGGCATCTTCAATTGCTGTAGACCATTGTTTTGTCCAAGCTTCAAGGAGGCATTCTCAGCGAGGCATTAGACTCCAGGTGTCTGTGTCAGGAAATTAAATCCTGAGTCATAGGAGAGAACCCTCCTCTCCCATATCAATAAAATCTCCTCTATCCAAACATTATACCATTCCCCAGCTCACTCTCCCAGGTCTACCGGCATCAAAATCCACTCCTCTATGTGTTGTCCTGGTTCCTGCTGGTACATATTTTCCATGTTATTTAGGTCCCGCAGCATTTTGGGGTGAATAATTCTTTTCTATTTGGGACAGTACTTCACCACATACTGAGACTTGACCTTAGATTTTGGTTTAGAAACCCTTAAGGGAGGCAGAGGAAATGCTCTCCTCTGGCAAAGTAGGATTCCATTCCGGAGAGATTCCTAGAGATGCGGGAGTTCAAGATTCTTAAGGGCACCTCCTCAATGTCCCACCCAAGCTGTCATGGTCCCTTTTATTTCATTCTGGGACTTCAGCAGAGGAGACCTGCCAGGGCTCTAGTTTTATCCTCCTTTGTTACTCTGCACTCTCACAGTCAGAGCTGGGGCTTGATTTTCAGCACAATCTCCCCTTTGCTGCAGTGGAGGCCATTTGACTTCTGTACCGTATCCTGAGTTAATGGTTGGCCGACCCAAGGCTGACATTTTCTTCCTTCAGAGATTCTCTGACGATTAGCAATAGCCAGCCAATTCCACAGTCATAATCATCATTGCTCTTATCTCTCAAATGCTGAAGCAATTGCATAAGCCATTGCCCCCTCCTCCACCTGTATCCCATCTGATAAGAATGTTGGTAATTGTGATGCTACAGACCCCACAGGGCTGGAACTGTCTGTTGGACAAGAATGCCAACGTGAAGTTTCTGGCAAGTCTCAATAAGAGAATTGCAGTGTAGACCTCTAGGGCTGGCAAACTTTTCTTTGTCGTCATGTGTGTGTGTGTGTGTGTGTGTGTGTGGCTTTGTTTTCAAACCCCTCTTTGGCAAACTTTTTCTTAAAAGACCAGATAGAAAATATTTTAAGCTTTGCAGGCCAAGAGGCAAAATAAAAACTATTGCATAAATACTCATATAACCTCCTAAACTAACCATGTGAAACATAAAAACCATTCTTAGCATGTAGGCCTTACAGAAACAGGTGATGGGCCAGATTTGACCCATGGGTCAGAGTTTGCTGATTCCTGTTCTAGGGCAAGTTCATGCCATCTGCAGAAGAGCATTATTTACTGTTTAAAAAGCCACTTTTTAAAAGTGAATAGCTTTTTAAAAGGGAATAGCTCAATGGTAGAGTGCACACTTAGCATGCAGGAGATCATGGGTCCCATCCCCAGTACCTCCATTAAATTAAAAAATAATAACAAATAAATAAATAAAGCCTAATTACCCCTCCCCCCAAAATAAAATAAAATAAAATAAAATAATTAATTAATTAAATAAAAAGCCACTTCTAGGGGGTGGGGGTATAGCTCAGTGGTAGAGTGCGTGCTTAGCATGCACGAGGTCCTGAGTTCAATCCCCAGTACCTCCATTTAAAAAAAAAGCCACTCCTGGCAAGCTACAGAGCCCTAGAAGGAATGAGCACTTGACCACTAGACATTAAGTCACTATGCAACCAGAGTTGCCCATCACGAGCTGGGTATTTTCAGACCCACCACACTCATAGTCATAAGGTTGGTGGGCCAAGCAGTGATTCACTTTAGGATGAAGTGGTACATTGGAGATGGGGCCCGAGGAGGGCCAGGGACACAAACAAGTTACTCAGTCACACACACCCCCAGGTCGGCTACGTCTGCTGCACCAGCCTCTTCCTCCACTCATCCCTATGGCCTCGCACACAGGAGGGAAAATCTCAGGTCTGGTTCACCAATGGGAAGGCTTGATATTCCGGGAAAAACTGAAAATGAACTGCTGCTGAACTCCCGCCCACTCTGGGAGACAGCAGTAAGGGGTCATCCTTCCAGCGGGGGGAGTGTCACATAGTAGACCTGGTCCCCACTTGGCGTGGAGGGAGGAGTGGTTTGGGGGAAGAACATACAGAGACCTCTGGGCAGCCACAGGTGGATCACCTGATTAGTCAGGGGATGTGTGGGAGCAAGATTAGAAAATCTGAGACAAAGACTTCTAGGGAAGAGACAAGTAGATGGGTCCATGGAGGGCAGCACAGAGCATCCGGATCCTTGTGTCTGACATCAGTGCCCACCCGAGAGCATCCACCTGAACAACCAGGTGGACAGGATGGCTCATCCAATGGAGGTCAGCTCGACAGTATCCGACCACTCCATATTTGCACTGTGGGCCCATGAATACAGTGACACTGGTGGCATGGGCCCGACAACCAATCCAGCTGCTTCCCCTGCTGAGCATCTGACCTGCCAGCGGCAGAAATCAATTCTGAGCCCTGGCTATGGGACCAGGCCGTGAGAGGACCCACAAGCCACTTGCTGGTGCGTTGATTACACCAGAGACCTTTCACCCTAGGAGGGGCATTGAACCATCCTGCGGGGGACTGGTTCATGTTCTAAGGCTTCCTTTCTGCCTGTAGTGCCTCCACCAGCACTACAGGACCACAGGGTGTCTAAGGACTTACAGTGTGTGGCTTGCCATCACAGGACCCGTAAATCAGGACCTCAGATAAGGGGCCTGCTCGATAGTAAAGAAGGTGCAGCAATGAGCAGGTGACCATGGATCCACTTGCTCTCCCAGAGTCCACATCACCAGAGAACAGAAGGCTGAGAGAATGTTGGAATTAAAGGCTCAGCTAAGGCACTGACTTGGGATGCACCCCGAAACCTGGGATGCGTCATGTACTTTGAACCAGAGATTCATACAGGGTGTTATATCCCCAACAGCCAGAACACAGGGGTCCGGGAACCCAGGGGCAGAGTGGAAGTGACCCTCATCACCGTCCTTGCCAGGGGCCCACCTCAGGAATTTGTTTCCTGTCCCCACAATTTTAGACATTTCTGGACTAGAAATCCTGGTTCCTGGGGGAAATGCTTCCACCAGAGAACATAGTGAAGATTCTCCTTAAGTTACAGGGCTGCCTGGTCATTTCTGGCTCTTTATGCCATTAGACCAGTTGGCAAGGAAAGTTCAATTACTAACAGGGCTTACTGACCCTGATTAGCAAAGGGGCTAGGATCACTGCCTCATAACGGGGGCAGGAAGGAGTACTTAGGGTCTGGAACTCAGGGGAATTCGCTGGGGCGCCTCTGAGAGCCTCCTGCCTGGTGACATTGATGGTTTGACCAGGGCCTGATGACCAAGGGTTCAGACCTCTCAGGAATGAAGATCTGGGTCTCTCCACCAGGAAAGCAACCCGGACCAGCCGATGTGCTGGCCAGGGCGGAGGGGACTATAGGATGAGCGGTAGAGGAAGGAACTGAGGCATGTCTAAGGATTCAGGACCAGTTGCAGCAGTGGGGACCACAGCTTACACCATTCGCCCTCCAGATGTAATTTTTCTTTCTAAGATATTGTGACCAGCTACCAACTTAAAGAAGCAATGTCAGGCCAGGGCACGCCACATGGGGCTTGAGTGCATCTGAGTGGCACAAGGGGTGGATTGTAGCCAACACCCAATGACCTGCCCGCATCCTGGGTGCTCACCATTCCAGCACATGCTGATCATGGTCCACGACAAGCGGTTACTCTCTGCGTGGGGTGGGAGGTGCCTTTTCCTCAGCCCATGCAAGAGGAGGCGAGAGCACCAGAGAGTTAATGCCCACAGGAGCCGCCCTCAACCAATGATGAGAGTTGGAGGATGCAGGCCCCAGCTTCCTCTGGGTGGGATAACTGAAATGGGTTCTGTATCAGTGTGTCTCCAACTTTAATATGCATGTGCGTTACCTGGGGACCTTGTTAACATGCAGATTCTGATGATACAGGTGTGGGGTGCAACCTGTTCCAGATATCTGATAAACTGCAGATATTAGTGATGCTGGGCCACAGACCACACTTTGCAACGGGCTCCACTCCCTCCCAGAGCTTCCCAGTAGGACTGAGCCTCCATCACCTAAGCTTCCTTCTCTGCTTAATTCCCCACTCCCCCCAAGAGTGCTTCCTGGGATCACCTTCCAAATAAACCACTTGTTTTCACATGCTGTTCCAGGTCTGCGTCCAGTGGACCTCTACCTAAGACAGTGATGACTTTTTATTCTTGTTTTACCCTTTGCAGCCAGGCACTGGGTCTGGAGCAGAAAGGATCAAGCATGGGCTCTGGAGGCCGGAAGGCTTGGGTTCAAATTCCAGCTCCACCACCAGTGGTGAGGCCCTCAGGAGGCTCACTTCACCTGTCTGGGCATCAGTTTCATCACCTGACAACTGTTTATCAGATCACTCACCATCCCTCAGGGGTTGCTGATATGATTATGTGTTTGATCAAAGCCCTCGGCACATCACTCAATACGGGAGCCCATTCTCTCTCCACAGCTTTGCCCCCACAGAGTGCACACACGCGCACACACGAGCACACGCACACATTCCCTGAGAAAGAGGCTGGGCCAGGTCGTGCACAGGTCCTTTATTTTCTGCACCGGCACATACACAGGCTGACAAGCAACAGGAGCGTGAGAAGCGCTGTGGATAGCAGGGCAAGTATCGATGGGGGTCCGGAGCCCCCGACTCCAGCTGTTTATAAGCAAAGGGTGGGAAAGGGCCAAACATCTAGAAGGAGGAAACAAGGGACACTGAGGGGAGGACCTGAGGGGAATGACAGGGCCTTGGGAGGGAGCCTGGACACTCGTGGGCCACAGGCAAGGAGGTGGGGAAAGAAGACCCTCGGCCAGGCAGAGGGTCTCCTCACCTACGCAGAGACACATCTGATTAGAAACAGTAATTAGGGACTGAGGAGAAAGGGCCAAGAATTGAGGGAGATGAACCTGTTCCTAAAAATCAACAAGTACTAAGGAGCCACCTTTAATTTGGGGGTCAAGGGGTGAGGGGCGTGTGGTTAGCAGGGGTACCCAGAACAACTTCCTACACCCGGGCCGGAGCCCTGGCCCCAGCTCAGAGCTGGGTCTGGTAGCTGGTGGGCCTCCCCCTGGGCTTCTTATGCCCCCTGGGCCACCACGTGATCCAGGCCCAGCAGCCACAGCTTTTGCACCAGCTACAGAACGAGGGTCGGGGTTCCTTCCGCCTGTCCCAGAAAAGGCTCGAGGCCTGGGCCCTCAAGTTGCGGCCCAGGTTCATCAGGACAGAGGGTGGGCTGGTGACAGACCGGGGGTCCCGTTTCAGAGCATGGGAAGGAGGCTCTGGGGAGGCGGGGACTTGGCCAGGCAGCGGAAGGAGGGGCCTCAGGCTTTCTGTGGGGCCTCTGCAGGCTGCTGGGAAACAGCAAAGCCTGGAAGAGAAGGGGGTAGATGTGAACTGGGGGCTTGAGAACCATAGGCCTGGCCTGGGCAGCAGGCAGGGGCTGGGCCCGGTCAGCTCTATCAGAGAGAGACAGCCACCACTGGTAGTTATGCAGGTTGCCTGCTGCCCAGCCACAGGTGTCACGGTTCAGTTTACAACCTACATACCCTTACATGGCGACCCTGATGAGGCCACCCAGCCATGACCAAAGAACTGTCAGAGTCAGGGCAGGCCAGATACAATCATGAGGCTGCCAAGATACAATCCTAGGGCCTGCTGGGTCACAACTGACCCAGCAGGCCAGGCAGACACCAGGACAGGGTTAGAGGGGAGGGCTGGGTCAGGAAGGTCCCTGCGGCACAGTGGCGAGGAAAACAGGCTCAATGGCCTTGAACAAACTACTTTGTTTCTGAACCTCAGTTTCCTCACCAAATGGGGACAGTACCTACCTATAAGGTTGTGAGGATTAAAGGAGATAATTCGCATCACTAAGTCATCTTTGATATCTCTAAGAGCTCCTTGAAGGCAGGGCTCACATGGCTTAGCACACAGCCTGTGCTCAGCGAGTGCTGCTCCCCAAGCTTTGGGGTTTCCAGCTGGGGAGAGGAGACCCTAACCCACCCCACCACCACCCTGCAGGAGACCCTAGCCCACCTTCAGACTCACCCAGGGGACTGGTCCGACTGTGGCTGGTGGAGGCCTTCATCCCAATGGCCTGGGTGGCCCCAGAAGGCCCCTCTTCCTCCCAGGCCCTGGGAGGGTGGTTGGCCCTGTCCTCCTCCAGCCTCCGCAAGTCCTGGGTCGGCACC